TAGGGTTTTATATGTGAGAAGGAGGATTTAAACTCTATTCTGGATATAACAGGAAGCCAACCAAGAGAAGCCAGGATAGGAGAGATATAGTATATATGATATAATAATATTTTTTAAAACTTTAAATCTTGTCTTAATGAAAAGTCTAATTCAAACAATTTTGAAATGAACTTCTTCAATCTAAATACCAGTTCTGAAAAAGGCAATCTAATCATGTGACTTCTAAATAGTTCGGTGTGTTTAATTCGTTATTTTGACAAATACTAACTATTTCCCCCTGCCTTAGTGTTGATTTTAAAGAAAATAAATATTATTGTCCAAATTTACTGTTCTGTTGCAAGATAAAAAAAAAAGTAGTTTTGCATCCAGTGAACATATTAAAGCACTCCTTCTTCCTTAAGGAACAACTTCTGCTATTGGTAAACAAATGAAAGTGAAAGTGAGTTCTGAATCCTCTTTCTGGAGAATACAGGGCAATTAAAGGCAGAATCGCACAACAAGGTTACAGACAGATCAGTTTATCAACTACTTTACAAAGCATCTCATCTAGTTTTATTAATGCTTAGTAATTATTTAGGCTTTTCTATTCTGAAAATAATGTATTATTCATTTTTATGAAAAAGATTTTTGTGGATTTCCCTTCTACTTAAAGTACATCACATATTTTGGATGGAAGACAGGAAGAATGTATAAACAAACAGTGGCTTACTCACTAAAAGTCTTTTTTTTTTTTTTTACCTTTTTGGTGCTTTTTTTAAAAGTTGTTTTGCAAGTTTGTCCTCTTTCAGAGCTGTTAGAGTCAACATTAAAGCCTGCAAGTTGCAGTTATGCTAAATCTGTTAAACTCTTTATTATCATGTCAGAATACGGCAGTGAGTCTGTGATGTAAGTGCATTAATTTTTAAAATATATTTTTATTAGCAGCCTGATACAAGAATGCCTGAAGTGGATGATGTAAACCTTTTTTATTTTACTCATCTTTTATGCAATCAAAGGTACGAGTTAGGATGAATGATTTCAACTTGTACCTTTGATTTTAAGGGTAAAAATTTAATTAAATTGTTCCTATTTTTTTTTTTTTTTTTTTTTTTTTGGTATGGTGCTTTAAAAATTGTTTCAAAGCTGTTGTGTTTTTATTGCGCCGGCACCATCTTACCAAATGGTTGTAAAGCTGTGTGGATTCTTCTCAGGCTTCCACCCAGACAGTCAGAGCAGCACATCAGTCAGGGATCAGCATCGCCTGAATGAATCCCATCAGCGGTGTCAGATTAGGAGAAGCCTAAAGAATACTCCTGTGTGTGTGAGTGTGTGTGAGTGTGGCGGGGGGTGATGTGAGGGACAGCAGCACGCTGGCTTAGTGGCTCGCACGGAGCCAGGCAGGTTTAACACACCACCCTCTGGAACCAGTAATGCTGTTAAATGGGGTCAGATGGCTAATTTCACCATTAATAAAGTTCCGGGTTCCTGCCAGCTGTGGTGAAAGGTTACTACTGCCTTGTTTTGTCTTCAGAGCTCAGGCTGATTGCATCTAATGTAAAGATTCTCAGTAGTCTGAATTTTTGACTTTCACTTTGTGGAAGGATAGTGCATAATATTTAACAGTCTAATTCACTGTTTGTCAACCTGAGAAAAGGAAATGTTCATTGGAGCACATCTCAGTTCCCCTTCGTCTTCGTATAACTACCGATTCGCATTGTTTATCTTATTTCTCGTTTGTGTGTCGATTCTCAGATCAGCCTTCAGAGTCTGGAGAATTTCCTCTGTCTCTTCCACTACGTGCAGCACCACCCCGATAGCGGCACCAAAGATGCACTAAAATTCTGGTAAGATCTCCTCACTATTTTGTCTTTTTAATTTGAAATATCCCAGGTGGTGATTGGTCATTTGAAGCTGATTTAGGGCTTTAAAGTCTAACGTCACATTGAAAAAAATAACCTTGATATCATTTAGTAAAAGTAGTTAGCAGATAGTTTAGCAAATAAAAATTAATGCTTGACAATATATTAAATGGAAATTCAATTTATGCCATATTTCAAAAGGCTTGCATTACCTTTTGATGGCTCTCTCTCAACACACACACATATCAATAAATAAAAATCAAGTGTTTTATATATTGCCCCTTACAAGAAATTCAATGAGGTACATCTGCTGGTGAAGACCTCAGTCATCCAGCTCATAGTCATTTCAAAAAAGTAAAAAAACAATCCCCTGGACTTTGTTTCCAAGTTTAAAGACGTTTCACTTCCCATCCAGGAAGCTTTTTAAATTCAAAATGGATGGGAAGCACAAAACCTTCAAACTTGGAAACCAAGTCCAGTGGATGTTTTTATTTATAGTTTGTAGTTTGTTATAAAAGGTTAGTAAACGGACATCATTCTAAAGACGACAGGCTTTAACTGGTAAATTATAGGAAGGATAAAGAATGAAATAATATTCCAAGCTGTGGACCTGTCGGTAAGAAGTGTCCACTGCCTCATCTTAAAATGGACGTATTATCTTAGAACAGCAAACTTACCAAGACATGACAACCCTCCTAAACAGACAGCCCAAGCAGGCAGAGCATTAATTAGAGAAGCAGTTGGTGTAAACTGTAGAGGAAGTGCAGAAATCGGCAGCGGTGGGAGAATCACTCTAGTACACAAGAAGGAAGCCCTGTTTTTAGTTCGACCTGTCAAGAAGTGTGGAAGAATATGCTTTGTTCAGATTAAATTCCAGAAATAAAGCTGCTGTCTACATGCAAATCAATGCATAACCTAGATAAGAGCCAGCAGATGCAGGCAAGCCTGAAAGAAAAGTGATTAGAGGCTCCAATAGACCTGAGATTTACCTTCCAATGTGACAACAACCTGCAACCGGAGCAACTGATTTAGAGCTTAGAGCGGAGCGTGTTTATGCTTTAAATGGCCCAGTCAAAGACCAAGCCTAAATCCAGTTGAGAATCTGTGGAAAGTTTATAAAACTGATGTACTGAACAACTAGACGGTATAAATGAATAGTGATGCATCCACAGCGAGGCAGCATTGCATCAGATGGGGATTTCACTCTGTGTTTGCAGACTCTAGTATTGTTTGCTCTAGAGCCAGATATACTGATTCTGTGAATAAACCTTGTTGTGACTGTAGCACTGGAGTCTCTGTTGACGGTGCATTGTTCACAGGAGTCCTCCCTCTATTAACCCGGCCTCTAAAGCAAAGAATGACAGATGAATGCAGCCTCTGATGGAAATGACTGGCCTGGAGATAAGAAGCTCAAAACAAGTGGTTGGAGGGGAAAAAAACTAAACATGAATTCTGCAGCTGTGTGGAAACAATTATCTCTTTACTTGGTTCTAATCGGTTTCTTGTGGCAGTGATGACAGGACTAACAAGCCAGAGCTGGAGAAGCAATCAGAAAGAATAGTGATTGTTATTCTGGTTCAACCCAAACTCTCTAATTTGGGAAAGAAAAATTTCCTTCCACAGCTGAGATTTAAAGCTAGCATCTAAAGAAAATACAGTAAACTAGTTTATTTGCGCTTGCCCTATTTTTATGAATGACTGTTTTATGGTTGTTTTTCCACTTCGGTACTTTTCACAGATAGCATACATGAGGCAGATATGTGAGCCATGTGTCTGATCTGGTCATGCTTTTGTAACCGGCCTCCGCGTTGTGTAATAATGCACCGTTCAATCACTCCAAGTCAGCCAATAAATGGCGTGTTTCTTCTGAAAAGAGTGAAACAAAACTGTTCAGCAGCAAATTAAAAACATCCAGCCCACATCAAGCCACCTTCCTCCATTGCAGTAATGAACAGTGTGTGCATCATTACATATTTAACATCAGATATTATTCAAAATAACCTCATTAAATACTTTAAATGAGGACGAAAGAGATAAAAAAGATTACAAAACACATCAAGAACAAACCCTCCACAACGAATATCCGACATGGATAAAAATGCGTTCATTGTGAAAACAAAACTAAATATCTGATATATAACAGAAAAAAAAAAGTCAACTGATTTTAAATTTTATTTCAGTTTAACATGGGGAGAATTCATGGGAGAATTCTCAGAATTCTGACTTTAATCCCAGAATTCTGACTTTTTTCTCAGAATTCTGACTTTTTTTTTTAGAATGAAGTCAGAATTCTGAGAAAAAAGTCAGAATTCTGAGATTAAAGTCAGAATTCTGAGATTAAAGTCAGAATTCTGATTTTTTTCCCATACTAAACTGAAATAAAATTAAAAAATCTGTGAACTTTTTTTTTTTCTTCCACTGACCCTAATCCTCTTCCGTAACAGACCAAAAAAGTTGTCAATAATAAAAAAAAAATTAAAAAGAAATAAGAACTTACCTGAAAAGAGTGAAACAAAACTGTTCAGCAGCAAATAAAAACATCCAGCCGACATCAGGCCACCTGCCCATGACAAAAGGAGCACATAAAAAAAAATAGAAATGCTGCCACAGTAAACCCTTTCACTCCATAAAAATCATTCCATGTTTAACTAAACAACTCACGAACACGTTAGCTTAAAAACAGCTAAACTTTTTTCCTTTTACATCAATTAAACAAAAAAAAAATTAACAAGACATCCATGAAAACTCACCTTCCTCCATTGCAGTAATGAACAGTGTGGGGAAGGAGGAAGCGATGTCACAGGTTATACCCGCAAAAGTAAAACTAAACTTTCCCCAAAACTATTATACAGATTATTGTTCTTTAAAGTAATAATTTCAAGGTAAAACCGAAATTGAATACATTAATAAAAATATAAGATGAAGGAATTTTGGTGGAATTAATTTTTTTCTTCCATGTTACACTTTGAGTAGGAAGTTGCTCACACTTGTGGAGATGACATGTGACTCTCACTGATGCTGAGTTTTGATAGTGAGCAGGAATTTATCTAGACGTCTGTTCGTGTCACCGAAGCTTAGGGCCATTAAATGGATCAATACTGATAGAGTTATGCTGATTGTCTTTCATATAATGTAGTTCAGGTAGAAGTTTGGATTTTTTTTTTTTTGACAAATATTGTTTTCATCTATAACATTAAAAGCAGATCTATCAAAATAAAATCTAGTCTGATTTTATTTTGATAGAGCTCCAAGTTGTGTCAGCTGGATTCCAACATGCATTTTAAACGGCTTCGTTTAAATCTTTGATCATAACTGTATATTAAAGTCATTCAAATCGATCTCTGTGGAAGTCATGCTCAGCTCTGAGATCTCCCTGAAGTTCCCTTCTTCACAGTTATTATAGGCTTAATTTTGCTCCTGATCTCATAAATCCTTTGCTTTCCCTTACTAGGCTGTTTGTTTGTTTTCTCCGCATTAACTTTTTTCTTAATTGCATGTAATGAAGCATCAGAATCTGTTTTATTTGGTAAACAGACGATTACAACAAGGAATCTGACTTTGCTTCCGCTTTCCTCACAATGAAGAGTTTTCTGGTTCAATATACAGTGAAGGAAAATAGAAATGTTTATCTTGATGCAAGCTTGGTGCAAATAAGCATGGTATCCATATGAGATCTTTGACATAAGTTCATCAAACGGACAGTCGCAGGGAAGTTAATAAAACTCTGTAGGGCAAACCTTGAGTAAAATTTGAACCAGGTGAGTCCAGGATCTGTGGGGTCTGCAGAAATGTTTGCTGCCCTCTTCCTGATCCCAGACCTGAACAAGTCCTGAATGGAGGGAAGGTCAGCCCTGATGAGTACAGTTTCTATTGGAGTACTTGATAATAAGAACATTTATTGTTGTAATGACTTGTAACGTAACAAACCTAGAGGCATAGTTTTATAAAAAGAGAATTTATTTCCACATCAATTTGAACAATGAAGGTTTAAATTCCAAATAGGGTGTTCACAACGAATGTGAGAGATTTACATTTTTATTTAAAAGAAAAAAAAGATGTAAATCCCTTTATTTATGGGGAATATATATATATATATATATTAAAAAGAATGAATTAGATTTTTATTTAAAAGAAAAAAAAGATGTAAATCCCTTTATTTATGGGGAAATTCCCTCTCTGCATTTGACCCATCCTCTGGTGCCCGGGGAGCATTGTGGGCTTAAGGGTTTTGCTCAGGAACCTCGAGGGGAGGCTGTAGGGATCGAACCGAGTTCTTGCAACATGGTATCCCTACTTAGAGGTGCGTTCAGGAGCAAACAAAGCACATCTTCTGGTGATGCAAACAGCCTAATTAGTAGGGGTGTAAATAATAATCGTTTTGTATCGATGCATCGACACGTCCGCAAGAGTATCGATTCCTGTTTTTTTTTTTTTTTTTTTTCCTCCGGTCTATTTTTATCCATTTACTCCTGGGCGTAATTGTCACTCCCGTGTTGCGGTGGCGCTAAACTCATTTTGCCCTCCTACCTCACTTCCTTAATCCAGGAGAACCCAAGAACCCTTTTTTTTGTTTGGAAATTTTTGAAATACACATTAAATGACCAGTATAAGTTCACTGAACACCAAAATATCAGTTTTTTCAATTTTAACCCTTTATTGACAAATTTAGGATTTGTGCCAAATTTGACCCTTTGGGCTTTAGACGTATCATTTCAAAGAATTACAAAAACAAACACTGTCTATGTAAACTATTTTATATTTAGGGAAAAACTCAAATAAACACACAACTACACTTAAAAATGTTTTTATTTTATTTTTTGTGTTAGAACTGGATTTCAAATATACAAACACTTTGGCCAATGGAAACCAGAACACAAGGCCAAAATTCGGACACCTGGTGCCCGGGGAGCAGCGTGGGGTTAAGAGTTTTGCTCAGGAACCTCGAGGGGAGGCTGTAGGGATCGAACTGGGTTGTTGCAACATGTTATCCCTACGTAGAGGTGCGTTCAGGAGCAAACAAAGCACATCTTCTGGTGATGAAACAGCGTAATTAGTAGGGGTGTAAATAATAATCGTTTTGTATCGATGCATCGACACGTCCGCAAGAGTATCGATTCCTGTTTTTTTTTTTTTTCCCTCCGGTCTATTTTTATCCATTTGCTCCTGGGCGCAATTCTCACTCCCGTGTTGCGGTGGCGCTAAACCCATTTTGCCCTCCTATCTCGCTTCCTTAAAGGGCTGGTTATACTCCTGCAGCAGTGTGTCGCAGTGAGCTGGACACAGACCTTTTTTATTTATGCCCAATATTGAAGCGTGGTCTGCGCTATACGCTGTGGGACTAGATACGGCCGAGGCAATGATGAAGTGGGGGACCAAAAAAAGTGGAGATCCAGGTGGAAAAAGGGTCCTAGCGTTCTCGTGCACCTCGCTCTTCTAGCTGGTCAAACTTCACGAGGTGCAGCAGAGTGTCTGCGGAGGGGGCGGGGACGTCGACACTCTGGAGCCGAGGTATTGCATTGCACTCATTGCACTGATTTTGTGCAGTATTTTTGATGCAAAGCCTTTCCGAATTATTATTTTTCAGTGAATAAGGTTTTATAGGCCTAGGTGGAGTACAACTTTTCTAATTCTGTTATTTGCTGTTGTGTCTCAAATAAAATGCATAACGATATTACAGCTTGCATTGATTTATTTCAATTTTGAAACATTGTCTAGCCTGTAAGGTAAAAGGAAAAAAAAAATGAACCAATTAGTCGAATCGTATCGTGGTGTATTCTTGAGTATCGAAAATAATCGAATCGTTGGGTCAGGAAATCGATACTGAATCAAATCGCCATGATGGATGTGATTTACACCCCTAGTAATTAGGGCAAAGTGAAAACCATGGTTGACAGGAAGCAAATTCACTGGAGTTCAACAATCTTGACTTCACTGTCAATTTGCATCACATCAACCAAGCAGGAACTGAATGCTGGCTGATGTAGGGTGATGGGAGCACAGCGGAGGGCGAAGCAAAGCTCTTTTTCAATCAAAATGGAAGATGAGGAAGAAAATGTTTTGAAATAATTGGGAATGAAGTAAGAAATGCTCTTAAAAGGTAAAAAGAGCAGTTGGTTAAATCCAGGTCCGCCGGTATGGTTTGAAACCGACAAGCAGGTAAACGCTCCTCCTATTCGATGAAGCACCGATGCGACTGGCTTGTTAACCGTGTTGGCCATGAAAATTATTGATGAGATGAAGCAACCAACCGTTTGAGAATAATGTAGAAAGCTTGGCTGGACTGGTTTTCAGTAGGAACACGGCGAAATGTTTGGCTGATGATTAAACAGTTTATCTGTCAAAAAAACACAACTCCAAAACCAAGGATTGTAACTTAAATGTTTGAACTGGTGGCTCTAAATCACCTGTGTATATTCATGCAAAGCTGACTCATAGAGTTTAGAGTAAGTGTTTTGTTGATTATATTCTAAGAGCATAAACCCAACTTTTGCACGGATGTAGATGCTGACTTAAAGTTGTAAAAGATGTACATCTTTTATCAGCCATGTGTGTGAGATGATATAAAAAATGCCTCAGCTATATATTTTTTAAAGAAATGTTTCAGTTATTAGTCCAATAATGGGTTCTTATGAATTATATTCTCTTAATATTCTATATTTGACGCTCCCAGTTGCTGCAGTGGAAAATAGGAAAGACCAAATCTATCAGTCGCCGACAGAGATCTTACACAGTGCGATGGGTGCCTGTCAATATCACCAAGACCAATCCCCTCGCCATGTGACATCACATGCTTTCATGTGATACGCTGATCTGCTGCGAATCTGGAAGGCCTCCATTTGAAATTCCAATTTAATGGAATTTGTGCAGCGGAACAGAGAAATCAGTCAGCAGTCATGTGAGGAAGTGTGCAGATCCAGCTAGCAGGACTGAGTCAAGTTGGGAGAATATATACAAGATGTGTAAAAGGAAACCCTTTGGCCCTGTAAAGATTGGTAAGATCATGCAATTTATATATGTGGACCTCGGCTTATTGATGCTTTTATTATTACAATCCTCTGGGTATTATTCTTGTTTTTTATGCCAAAAACGGTCTTAAAAAAGGCGGGATTATTGCCGTTATGTTCTTTGGTTTCTAATTGTTGCCCCATCGTCAGCCCCTGTGTTTGTCGACTTTGAAAGGGATTTGTCTGTATTTTGTTGAAAAGAGAACCTATTTAGAGGGACACGTGTTTGTTGCACACATGTCCATCAGCTTAGGGCCGCTCTGAACAACATGCTCAGGGGTAAATAAGTTGCCTTGTTTTCCTATATTTAAAAAAATATTTTCAGATTAATGTTTGACAGCAAGAAGGACAGTTTGATAGTATTTTTTTTTGTGTGTGCAAATTTTCATTTTAGAAAATCTCTTTGTCTTAAGAGACCTTAAAATTAGAGTTGGGCTGCAGTCTTTTTAAGCTGTGTTTTGTTTTTTTCTCCTTGCAGCTCAGACATGAGTGGAGCCAGTAACACACTGGCCAGGGAATTTCTGACTGATGTTCACCAGCTATGCAGTGCAGTGGCCCAGAGAGCTGAGGCACGGGATGAAGATGAGGAGGAGAGTCACATGGTGGCGCTGGGCGAGTACCTGGTCAGGGGACGGGGCTTCTTGTTGCTTAGCACCCTGGATGCTATCATTGATCAGGTAAGAAAAAGCTAAAAATAAGAATCTTTTAATGACAAATGAACTTAATTATTGTAACAGAACTTACAAAATTCAGTTTAATAATATTCCAAGTCTGAGCAAGTATGGAGTAAATAAAAATAAAGTCCATATATATATATATATATATATATATATATATATATCCTATCTATCTAGTTCAACGTATTCTGTGATATTAAAAAAATAGAAAACAAAAAAAGGCTTAAAGCAATAACAAAGGAAAGTAGACAGATTCCTAACCTTCTGGTGCATCTTTTCCTTTTTTGTAGTTGCATTTTTCTTTAAACACTATAAGATCATATTGTTTTACTCCTTTGTTGGTGTAGGAAACTATAAATCTATCATGATCTAATATATAAATTATTGAAAAATGCTGTTATTTGTCTGAAGCACCACATGATTTTTTTTTTCCCTCAAGTTTTTACTATGTCAGTATTTAAAATTTCTGGTAAAAAATTTAAAAATCTAGAGTCTTGTAAAGGGAATAATGTTAAAACTAAAAGGATGTCTGTGCAGCTTGTCTAAGATATGACCATCTATTCTTTTTTTGTTGTTGTTATTTTAGCTTTTATCAGTCGGCCTCAGCAGATGGCCGCTCACACTGAGCCTGGTTCTGCTGGAAGTTTCTTCCTGTTAAAAGGAAGTTTTTCCTCTCCACTGTCGCTACAAGCATGCTTAGTGTGAGGGATTGCTTTCAGGTCAATGAGTCGATGCAATCAGCTGGATTTCCTTAGATAAAAAAACTTTGAACCACTCTGACTCTGAGATGACGTGTTGTGAATTGGCAATATATAAATAAACTGAATTGAATAATCTTCGTTCCATTAGCACTGAATGTTAGCTGCTTGCAGTGTCAGGTTTTGTTTTGCATGTTTAAGTAATAAAATGTAATACAAGTACGAAAAAAGATGGCAAAATGCAAGTTTCTACCAATGGTTTCTCCCAGAAAAGGAAATACAATAAGAATCTTGAAAGCACCAAACATGCATAGGTAAAGGATTAAAACAGGTGTTGACAACATGAAAATAAAACAATAAAAGCACCAAACAGTTGCAATGTTTGATGCTGTAAAGTTTTATGAACAAACACATTCTTCCTGTAGAGTAGATCGTGGGTTTTCACAAGAGCAAATGCTTAAACTTCACTGACTGATAGGGTTGGGAATTGAAAAGATTTTCACGATTCCGATTCCCTTTTCGATTCTATGAAACGATTCGATTCTTTATCGATTCTTTTTTCGATTCCAATTTGGGGAAAAAAGGAGAACAAACAGTTTGATTATCAGCATCAACTTTGTTTACTTAACTATTGTTGCACAATCTTACAAACTCAACAAGATCAAGATGTCCACAGGAAATGTGAAACTGGAGTAACATCTGTGTTTAAATGAAAAATGAATACAAGAACAAACTTAAATAACCAACAATGTCTAATAACAAATGATGGGATAATAACCTATTTTAAATAACAAAAAATACTAATTATAAAACAGTAGTAGGGAAAATTAACAGTTCTTTTGCAGAAAGATGAGCATATCTGCTTTTTCTGGAAGGATACAGGATCTTTCAGCGCTTAAGGTGTCTCCAGCCGTGGAGAACACCCTCTCAGATGGGGTGGAGGAAGCCTGCACACAGAGGTAGTTTTCAGCCAGTCCAGATAGCAAGGGCAGCGTATCTTGCTTGTTCCACCACCACAGAGCTATCCCTGCAGGGGATGGAGGGCAAGCTTTTACAGAGCTGGATTTCCTGATCTACCCTCTGGGCTAAGGAAAGACGGGGCTTTGATTCACAAAGTGACCGCAGCTCGTTGTCTTCCTCCTCGAATAGTTCTTCCAACTTGCGTAACTTGCGTAACTTACGTAACTTGCGTAACTTACGTAAAAACGTGACGTAAGTCGTGCTCCCCAGAGCCGACGCTCTAGGCTCTGGTGCTGCGGGAATCGAAAAAAGAATCGTTCAGCAAGCTGCCAAACAATGCCATGGAATCGGAAAATACGGAACCGGTTCTGAACAGGAACCGGTTTTCGATTCCCATCCCTACTGACTGAACCTGAAGTTTTAAACTCCCTTCACTTACCTGCTGCACCTGCAGTCAGATTGTTTCTATCTCACGTTAAACTAAGATGTATAGCAAGGATATTATTTGTTTGTTTAAAGGACGAACCTATATGTTTGTGAACCGTTCACGCAGCAGAATGCATGTTTTCTTTGTGTAAAATGATAGGAAATGCCTCACAGAAGGAGGTATTGTTTGTGCCATCAATTAGCACCAGGCTCAGGCAGCCCCTTGTTTTGTCTGTTAAAATCATTGCTGTCTGCACGCTTCACTACGAGTGTTCTGGGAAAGATTTTGAATCGTAGTCAGAACGTTTAAACTTGTTTTTATTGTCTTTGAGAGCATTGGGCTTCTTCATAGAGTTTTAAATAATGGGACCCATGAGCCTTACTATGGTGCTCACTTTGTTGAAAGCGTTTCCAGCTGCTGAGCCCAGATGGCATCTATAAAACCTGATGTTTAAACAATATCATTTATTTCTTAGAACAGCAGCTCCAGAGAAACTACAGAACTGATATAAAGGGACATCCAGATTAAACAGCAACTGAGTTGAGGTAACATAAGAACAGTAGAGTGATGATATATCAAACCTAAGGATATCCTGCAGGATAATGTAAAGCAAATAATATGATATTACCCTCTATTAGTTTTACAAAAGCCGTCATTTCATTCAGAGACGTCTATTTAAATGAAACGTGTGGTGGCAAGTTCTGATAACTTCATGCATCTGTCCTGCGTGGCATTTTCCCTGTCTTACACTCGATCATCGTAGTTTTTGCATTTAGTCAACACATTTAAGGCATGCATGTGCAAATTGTCATCACAAGCTCTGGCTGTGTGCGTCAGCTGCATCCTGCATGAGACCAAGCCTCACAAAGCAATCAGGGTCACTTTGTAATAAGGATGTGTGGCTAATACTTGGATTCAAAGAAAATGTTTCATGAGTTTTATTTGTTCTTCTGCAGTGCTTATAGCCTTTACTATGGATCTCTTGTAGTAGATCAGATGCTTTGTATTGTAAAGGTGACATGGCTGCCTGTTGAGGTCATATTCAAAGTCATGTGTCAAGTGTTTTATTGCAGTTAAAAATCCGTAAAATTTGCAGATGACCAATTAGAGCCAGCAATGTATCACGATACAGGATTCAAATCTGTTATTAATCGCTTTGTCACACAAGGAAAAAACAAAAAAACTAAGATGAAAACTGATATTTTAGGGAAGCACGAATCAAGGAAGCAATGTTATTAGACGTCACACTTGAGCCAAGCAAGCTGCGACCAACAAGAAATAAACACTGAAGAAATAATCAATAATCAGATCCAAATGAGGAGCAGAGAGGAAACTTTAATTAAATGCTTCCAATGGAGTCATCAAATTGACAACCATTAATATTAAAATAGTTTATCTGATCCGTTGGCTGGTGGCTTTTATTGAGGATAAAATTGAAAATAAGCACTGCTCTGGTATCTGGTTATTTTCATGTCGGCTTTGAGATTTTCTAACTTTTTGTCTCTCCATGTTTTAACAATATTGTTCAACATTGATAGCGATGAGCAACAAAAATTGACTTGGAGAAAAAAAAGCTTTAACATGCCTGTAATTTCATTATGAAGCCATTTTCTTTTATGTGTTCTTTGTCTATTGGTGTTAACCAATGATAGCCATGATATTCGCTTCCCTCACAGCAAATGCATTGCTTCCAGAGGTTGGTGATGAGCAATAGGAAAGTGGTTCAGTGTTGCATTTAAGACCATAGGAAAAAAAAAACGCCAACAGATAAAATGCAGATGGGAAATGTTACCTCAGTAATTCCAGTTAGATGCTCAGAATATTGTCGTTTTATAGGATACATTCAATATATCAGTAGTTTTAATTAAGTTCAAGTAAGAAAAGTCTTGTATCAAACAGACACTGTCGATGAACTCAGCAGATTTTCTTTTTTATTTCAAGGACATTTATACAGTAAATAAAATTAACTTATTTTTCTCTCCCTGCTTATGCATTTGCTCCATCAGTGTGCGACGTGCACTGCTAAATCAAATATTCTCACTCAAGCATATATCCCAGCTTGGTTTTTGGTGTGTATAATTACTTTTGCTCATCTGACTCTCTGTTTTGGTTCTTTGGTTGAATAGAAGTGTTGCATCCACTGCAAAGCTTTTAATTCCTAGATTACTTCATGGTTTCAGGAGGTCTGGAAATGTTTATCTAATTATCATTATCAAAATATTTGTGAAATATTAGTCTGGATAGTTATGGAGAAGGAAGAATTAGGAAAATATTTGTATACTTTTTTCTCTGTCTGTTTAAATGCTGCCCTCTGCACCAAAGTTAGTACTGGTAGGTGTTTTTGCTTGCAGCGGCATGGGTCAATACTGGTATGCAGTTGCTGCTCCATTAGTAAGTTCAGAAGCTATGCCTTGAAATGATGTGAACCTCAGGAATTCCTGCTCACTTAAGAAAGTTATGATCAAATAAAAAAAAAAAAAAAAAAAAAAAAAAAAAATTTTTTATTTTATATATATTTTTTTTTTTTTTTTTTTATTTGATCATAACTTTCTTTTCTGTAACATTTGTTATTGTCATGTTGTTTTTATCTTTTAAATGATCTCTATCTCTATCTCCATACGTTCCTTTTATTCCTTCGTCCTCCATTGTTCTTGCCTTCTGTTCTTAATGCAGTTCTTCTTAAACTTTATTAGTCATTTTTTGGAGTTAGAAATCCATCAACAAAAGTATAAAACAAATAGTAATTGGCGAACCAAGAGTGACAGCATTGGATGTATAAAAGCAGCAGCTTTTCAACTTTAAGGCAGGCACCCATATTTTAATATATCTAGTTTCAGACCCAGCTTTTTACATAAGTCCACCATAGCTGCAAATGACCAACAGTGACAATGATCTAAATAAAAAAATAATAATGCTGAAATTCTTGAAGATGCAATATATGACCATAAATGTTACTTATTAATCGTTTCACTTATTAATCGCTTAAAGATAGTGGCAGAACAGTAACAGACTTTTAGCAGCAGCTAAAAGTCTCCCCTATTCTCTCACTGTCCCTTCATGCTTTTGTTTCTTTATTGATTTGATGTTCTTTGAAAACCTTTCAGCCAAGTTTAACTGGACTTTTTATCAACGGTACAGAAGATCACAAACTGGCTCTGCTATTAGTCTAAAATAAAGTCCTTCACTTATTTAACAAATCCAAGAATTGGATGGGGAAAAACAGATAGAAAAGAAGATTTCAGTGCAAATTAGATTTTAAATATATAAATATTAGTTGGTTCTCATTATTTGTAGATGCTATTAAAAAAAACTCAAGAAAACATGTTTAAATTTGAGTTTAACAATAGGTGGAATTTTGAAATGAAAAAGTTAAAGCTGTTTATCAAGTTAAATGTATATAAACTTGGACTGCATAGCCAAAATTCATTTATATTTGGTAATGAAATTATTGTCTTTATTTCAAAATAAGTGGGTAGCACTGCTGCCTTGCAGCAAGAAGGATCTGGGTTCAGTTCCCAGCCCGGGGTCTTTCTGCATGGGGTTTGCATGTTCTCCCTGAGCATGTGTGGGTTCTCTCCGGGTACTCCGGCTTCCTCCCACAGTCCAAAAACATGAATGTTAGGTTAATTGGCTTCTCTAAATTATCCTTAGGTGTGAGTGTGTGTGTGAATGGTTGCATGTCCTGTTTGTCTCCGTGTTGCCCTGCGATGGACTGGCGACCTGTCCATGGTGTACCCCGCCTCTCGCCCATTGTCAGCTGGAGATAGGCACCAGCAGCCCTCACGACACCAGTTGGAACAAGCAAGTCAGATAATGGATGGAATGGATTTCAAAATCCTTTAATATGTTCCTTTTTGGTTGGCATATTTAGGTATGAAATCTGCCTGTCTTCTTGTGGTAAATTGATGAAATATTGATTTTAAAAAAAAGCATAAAATTAACTTCTCTTTGTCATGTTCACAATGTGAAAGAGTTTATTCTATACCTGTAGATGCTGTCTTGTCAGAACATGTGTTTTAAGCCTCCTGCTTTACCTTTTATGTAAGACGAATGGCCAAAGTAGATATTTAATTAACACCTGACAGAGGAATGCCTCAGTAGACTTTGGATTCAAAATTCCTCGAAGTTAGCCTGTCGGGTAGCTGCTGCATTGCTTACTGTCTGACTTCTACCTAGATCAATGGAGAAGCAGCATTTAGTTCCTACTGTATGCTCCACTTATCTGGAACAAACTTCCAGAAAACTGTAAAAGTGCAGAAAGCCTGAGTTCCTTTAAATCAAGACTAAAAACACATTTGTTTAGGATTGCCTTCGACTATTCTAGTTAAACAGTTCAACAAAAACATGTTTTCTTTAATCCAACTGTTTTTAATATTCTTTTTTTGTTTCTGCATTTTTTTTATTTTATTTTATTTTTTTATTATATATTTTTTTTCCTACTTGCTTTGATTCTGTTTTATCTTCCAGTATTTTAATCATGTAAAGCACTTTGCATTGTCTTTGTACTGAATTGTGCTATACAAATAAATTTGCCTTGCCTTGGCTTGCCTTGCCTTGCCTTAGATAACTGAAAACTGAGAGGAATCATTAGTAGTTTGGAATATTCCTAAAAGTCCAACAGATTCTGATGGTTTTATGAGTTTAGTGGCTGGCTAGCTGATGAGTCACCCATCCTGCAAATAGGAAGCCTTGGTTTCTGTTCGTTTGAGCTGCCACTGTGGGTCCTTGGGTAAGACCCGACATGCCTGCTTTGGGGAGTGGCGGTTTAGTGGTTAGGGCATTGCGCTTTGAATCCTGAGGTTCTGAGTTCAAGCCCCACTCCCACAGACTGCCACTCTGACTCTCTGAGCGCCGCACAATGGCAGCCCACTGCTCCCCAAGGGGATGGGTTAAATGCAGAGAGGTAATTTCATTGCTCTGTACTTGTGACAATAAAACTGTTACATAATGGCGATAAAACGCTGAAAATAATGGAGACTTGAATGGATGTTTGGATTTAGGGAGGAGTAGATGCGAGATGGTGGGCGTGGCATTAAAGTGGGACCAAAGTGGCGTCCGCGTCCCCCCCACCTCCCTTTCTAAGTAACTGACTGTGATCTGTTAAACTCTCAGGAGCTGACTTGTCGAGAAGAGCTGCTAACTCTGCTGCTGTCGCTGCTTCCTCTGGTCTGGAAGATTCCTGTTCAAGAGGAAAAAGCCCCAGGTTTGTTGTTAACCTCTATTATTTATCCTGATTTCTGTTAATATTGAACATCCTGTTTGATCTTTTTGTAAAGCATAGTATTCCGTGACCTGCTTTCATGGTTTAGTTAATGTTCTCCCTAAACTTGTTTGAACGTCACTTTTTTTTATCATCTAGCAATAATGCAGTGTTTGATTTGGTGCGTTCATGTGAAGGCAATTTAATGCTTCCATGTTGCTGTTAACTATAAATGTTTATATCCTCCTCACATGTTAGTTATAAACTTTTATTTTCGGTCAGTTTATTTGGCACACTTACTGCAAAGAACCGAAAGTGTAAAAATGTGCAAACGTTTTTTGAAGTTTTTTTTTATTTGTTTCAAAAAAAAAAATGAAAGGAAAAAGTATGAAAATATTTTTATCTTCTGGTAACTATTTCTGATTTTCATGATAATATTGGTTTTTAGAAATGTTTCTACATCCAGACTCCTAGGATTTCTTTGGATAAAAGATGCACATTATCAACACTGTATTAATTGCAGATAATAATAGAGATATACACTTGCTCAAACTCCTTAAGGTTTTATTGAATGGTTATGTGTATAGATGTCTTAAGTGATAAAACAGTAAAAAACAGGAACTTTTTCCTAAAACAGATGAAAATTTTTGGGAATGTTGTGTAAAGTTGTCCGTCTGTTTTTATCTGGCCTCCTTTATTTATATGCCTTAAATGTAAATCGTTTTTTGTTATTATTATTATTATATTAATTCCCAATAATTTGCCAATAGTCTGCTAACAAATCTGGAAATACTCAAATAGAAAAAATAAAATATATATAAGTCCTATTTCTACCTTTTTTTTTAAGTTAGTCACAGAGCAGGAGAACATTTCTGTTTGCAGAGGCTTATGACCTGAGAATGACTTTGGCATTTAGAAGAAGGCTGCTGATCTTCTCTAACATCAGGTCTTGACATTTCTTGTTTAATTAATATTTGCTTTCTGAAACGTTTAACAAGCTGCTTTCAGGGCTTTATTACGGTGGCCCTGAAGTGCAAACTGCAACTACAAATCTAAAAGCGCAACTACATTAAGAAAAACAAAACTACATAAAGCAAAGGGCAACTACATTAAGGAAGGTATGCATTTTTTTCTTTTAAAATGCATACTTTGTATGCATTTTAAAAGAAAAAAAAATCCCAGAGTAGAATAACACTTTTTCATGATATATTTCGCTCCAGAATTAAAATATTAAACATGATTTGACCTGTTGTATAAAAAACCCCCAGAAAAGTCTTAATGTTTCCCAAACTATAAAACACAGCTGCCCAATTTTAAAAGCTTTGTGTTAATGTTGTGCTAAATGTTTGCTTGCCAATATTCAGTTTTTTTTTAAATTAGTAAATAAAAAAGATAAATGAAAGTAATGAGTTGCTTAAATATAGTAGTACTTCCCGATAAAAGTTATAATTCTGCTAATTGAAATGAAATAAAACAGAAACCATGAATTCTGAAAATATAACATGTTAACATTTTTTTATTAGTTAGCAGCTAATAAAAGAAATATTGTAATTTACAATCATTTAAAAAATGAAAAACTTTGCAACATTGCAGTACATATTCAGTATGGTTAAATACTGCTTGCAGCCTTCCTGATTGCTAATATTTTTGTTGCTTTTAAAGTGTTTTAAGTTTAACAAATACATTTAAATATAAAGAAATGCATACAAAAATACACAAAAAAATACAGATAAACACAAAATGCAATTCTTAATTGTTTTTTCTGTAATCAAGAGGGGAAAAAAATTGGAACGTGCATGTATGTGTATAAAAAAAGAGAGTGCCCCACTGTTAGAACACAGCGTGGTTTATCACACTGGAGTTTACTCTCTCTAGCCACACACAGGCCTTGGGTGTGGCTAAATGGGATGTAATTAACCCCTCAATGTGGCTGAATTACAACAATTCTGCTAAGATCAGTGGGTCAAAATTACTTCACAGTGCTGTTAAAGATTCATTGCAAATGATCCAAAATGCTTGATTGAACTTTCAGCAGCTGGGGCTGGACTAACCAGCTAAAAGGTTCAGGGAGAAATCATGTTTTTACTCATGGCTGGGTAGGTTTGGGGTTATCATTGTCCCTTAATGATAAGAAACTTAATTTAAAGACTTCGTTTCGCATTTACTTGTGTTGTCTTTGACAAATACCTGAATTTGTTTAAACCTCTGAAACATTTTAAGAGTAACAAACATGTAAAAAAAACAAAAAGCAGTAAAGATAAATTAGGAAGGTGCCAAACAGCTGCTTATTGCACTGTAGGCTGTATGATTCTGCATTAAATATAACACATCCTGCTCTCTGACCGAAAAAGCAAATATAATTCAAAGTAAGGGTTTTATATATACGGTATATATATATATATATATATATATATATATATTTCTTTTTTTTTATCCGTACATGAAATTATAGTTTAACTTAGATAAACAGTACTCTAAAGGTTAAGAGATAACATGCATACATTTTTGGATTTATTATTTTACTGGTGCTGTGTGATCAGTTGTTGGATTTTTTTTTTTGGCCATAAAAAAAATTCAGGTTTTCAGAGAAAAATTTTTTAGGTTTAGCCCTTTTGCCTAATAGCCGTTAATTTTCAAGGTTCCAATAATTGTCTATAATACATTATCTCTATAATACATTATAATTATACTATAATACTTTTTTTTGCCATTTCCAAGCTTGCTGCTTGTCTTCTATTGACAGAAGAAAATAAAGGAAGCTGATATTAGTTGCTTAATTCAAACTGTTTGATGAAAACACATTGCTGCTTCTTGTGTGCTAACTGGTGTTAATCAAAACAATGAACTTGTTCATCAACACTAAAAAGATTTGTAAACCACCAAATGAGTCTTTCTTACAAGCAAGAGAACCCATTTTTCAATCAGCTAACTATAAGCTTGCAGCAACAGGTTAGAGAGGGGCAGAAAAGTTACCTAATTCTTTATTTGCTTAGAATGATCTTGATGTACTTCATACTGGTTACCGACCTATACCTACTCTCAACATGCAGTAGAGCACCTTGTTCTTTAGTGTTTACTTTTTTCATTATTTCATTCACCACATGTTTTTTTTTTGTCTTAAATGTTTTTTTTTTCATTTAAATCTTGATGCCAAAGCCTGTTGGATCTCTTTGTGTATTTACAGATTTCACCCTGCCATCCCTAATTGAAGTATTCCTTAGCCGGGAGGTTAAGGCTGTTCCACTCAGGACAGGCCAGAAGGCTGCAACAGATGAGCAGAGCTCTGGAAAGAGGTCCCGTGTTGGCAGCGGAACCTTGAAGTCACGGAGATCACGCAGGACGTTGCAGAGATATTCTGTGAAAGATGCTCGCAAGTCCCAAGTCTCCACTTCAGATTCAGACGCCAACTCTGATGACAGAACGGTTGGGGGCTCAAGTGGGGTGAGGAGCCGGAGACCACACGGGTCCACCGTCCAGGTGAGCTGTCAGTATCATCGCTCTGAGGCCTCGCACTTGACATCTACCGCCACCAACACTACAGAAACCATGAGTGCACCGTATCCCCACCCAAGAGCCCCTGGATCTCAGATGGTTGACAATGAAACCTTGACTGACCCGGCTGCAATATCCATTTTCAACCGCATGGAGAACTCGCCCTTTGATCTGTGTCACGTGTTGCTTTCTCTGTTAGAGAAGGTATGCAAGTTTGACATGAACATAAGTCACAACCCCGGTCTGGCCATCAGTGTCGTACCAACGCTCACAGAGATCTTGACGGAGTTTGGGGACTGCTGTGGTCCAGGGGGGGGACGGGGAGTTGGGGCTGAAGAACTTGCTGGAGGATGGACAGAGGAGCCGATTGCACTGGTTCAAAGAATGCTACTACGCACCATCTTGCACTTGATGTCTGTGGATATAAGTCAAAGTGACAAACTTCCAGACAGCCTGAGAAGAAGTTTAACAGACTTGCTGCGAGCAACCCTCAAAATCCAAAGCTGTTTGGAGAGACAGAATAACCCTTTTGCCCCACGTCAAAAAAAGACTTTGCAGGAGGTCCAGGATGATTTTTCCTTTTCCTGTTATCGCCATAGAGTTCTGCTGCTTCCTGAGCTTTTAGAAGGAGTACTACAAGTTCTTCTGAGTTGCCTCCAGGCTTCAACATCCAACCCCTTTTTCTTTAGCCAGGCTCTTGAGCTCATTCATGAATTTGTCCAGCACCGTGGCCTTGACCTCTTTGAGGCCACAGTTCTCCGGTTGGAAGGACTCAGCAGGACAAGTTCTGACGTAGGCAGAGAAGCTTCAGAGCGGTTACGGGCTCTCATTGCAGGCGTCTTCAAAATAATCAGTGCTATCAAGAAAGCAAAGTCAGAGCAGCTTCACCAGTCAGTTTGCGCGCGTCGCCGGCACCGTCGCTGCGAGTATTCCCATTTCCTGCATCACCACAGAGACCTGTCAGGACTGCCTGTCTCTGCCTTCATGCAAACAGCCAGACGCAACCCCTTTGAGGAGGATGGGGAGAGCTCAGAAGGAACTGAGGGGGATACCGTGCGTTACCCGGAGAGATGCTGCTGCCTAGCTGCCTTCGCCCACCAGTGCTTGCGGCTCCTGCGGCGCCTCTCGCCCAGTGGGCCATCTGTGCTCCAGGTATTAGCTGGGATTCAAGCCGTGGGAATCTGCTGTTGTATGGACCCTCGCTCAGTAGTAGGACCTCTTTTACATGCTTTCCAAGCTCCAGGTCTTCGTAGTTACCAGTCCCATGTGCTGTGTGTCCTCTGTCGGCTCATTTTAGACCAGCTCGGTGGGGGTCAGCCTTCAGAAAAAGCTAAACTGGCCTCTTGTAATATCTGTACTCTGGACAGCAGCCAACTTCCAAGTCTGGAGGAGACATTGCAACAAGGAGAACCTTCAACTGTTTCTAGCAGTTTTTGTTACCGCTCCCAAGGCATCCTGCCTAGTGGAGGGGGGGCTGAGGACATGCTGTGGAAGTGGGATGCCCTAGAGGCCTACCAGGAGCTAGTATTTGGGGAGGACTGGCAGCTGAGCCAGCAGATAGCTGGCCATGTGTGCCATCTAACACTACGGGGCAATGCTATAGTGCAGTGGCAACTTTACACGCACATTTTCAACCCTGTTCTGCAAAGAGGGGTTGAGGTGGTTCACCATGCCCAGCAGCTGGGGGTTTCTACCGTCTGCACTCAGGTCTGCAGCTACCACACACAGTGCCTGCCTGTGGAGGTCCTACTCATCTACCTGCAAACATTACCAGCACTTCTCCGATCAAGGTGAGCACCCGTACCTCGTTTCCTGCTCTTTTTTCCCACTCTACAATCTTTTATTTATACTTTTTGGGTTGTCCTGAATGTTAATCAACTGCAGATACAAAAGATGTCGGCAAAAGCATATTAAGACCATAAACCCTTTTGGTTCCCTACTTATGATTTAAATGGAGCAGTTTATTGTCATGTTGGCGATTTTTGCTTATATTGCAAGTTTTGCCACAAACTTTCCAAGGATTATATAAACATGACAGATAGAAATTAACCAGCCACCTCACACTAGACCACATCCGCTATGTCATGAGATCTCTCTCCTCAGCCTCATGCTAATTATTACTAATCAATAATGCATCATGTTTTTGTTTCCTTAGTAAGAGATCTAAGACTATTGACTGATATGCAACTCTGTAAAGTATTGCTTTGTGGTTTGGGAATACAGGCATAAGACAGGGTAACAAAGACACATTTATCATATCAAGACCTGTTTATAAAAGCAATGAAACTAAGAGCACTTGAGTTTTCTTGTGTGCCCCTTTATATTGTGTCCAACTTGCTTTGTGATTTTGTTTGGGTTTTTTTGGGAGGTGATTTTTACATCACTAACCAAAAGTCTAGCCTTTACTATTTTGGTAGAAAAAGGGCAATATTAGCTAAAATATTTAAACTTGGTCTAATATCTTATGTTAGCACTCATTGCAGACAAATTTACCAAAAAGTCAAGTTCTAAAAAGAAATGTAGGTCATTTCATTCTGTGATTTTTCTTTAAATGATGTCATCTGCACCAAATCTTGCATTTTATAGCAGAAGTTGAAAGCTTGAAAGGATAACAGAGTTGTCTTGTAGCCTCATTGATATGGGCAACAGCTAATGATTAAAAACACATCTCCAAAAATAAGTTTTATTGTAAAGTGCTAGAGTCTAAATATGGTGGGTTCACTGAATAGGAATAAGATTCGAGATCTGAGCTGCTCACTCGGCTATCGGCCTGAAAATCATCTGATTCCATTCAATTGCCGTTTTCTTTCCATATCTATAATGTTGAAAGGTTTTGCTTTGTTGATCAGAGAAGTAGATATTGCTCTACATTTACCCGAGCTGTGCAGAGTTTTTGTAAACCACTAGATTTGATGCGTTTAAGTTTCAAAGCTTTAATAAAACAGTTCAGGTTAAGCATCCGACGCATGTACGCGGCCATCGCAGGTTCCAGTCCTGACCTGGTGACCTTTGCCACATGGCTTTCCCCTCTCTCTTCTCCACTTTCCTGCCTAAATTTACATTCAAAAATTAACAAAAATAAACGCTACTGGTGCCTTAAAATATTCTTTAAAAAGATATCTGAGCTGGATTGACGTACCACGTTTACAGAATTCCCCCTATACTAGCATCCATTACTTTAAAAAACAAAAAAACAAAAAACTGCCCTTTGAATATTCCGGTCATTCTGTGAATTATAGGGCTCCATCTGCTGGACCAGTCGGCTCAATTAGTCATATACATCACTATTCTTAATAACATTATTTTAATTTATTAAAGCTACAGTGTGTAATAATAACAGGGATATACAGTCAGAAATGTAATATATTATACATAACTATGTTATTTTATCATCATCTACGAGCTCAGCCTCTTAACCTTAATATTTGCGTTGCCTTAGAATTCGTTATTTATAATTACANCTACACAGACTAATGAAATACTATCTGTAAAATTATCTATGTAAACAAACCTCATCACTTGAGAAGGTAGGTGATGCGGACGTCGTAGAAGACATTTTGTCCCGTAACGCTCGCCGTACTGTTGGGGGGGAGAAGCGGTGGGGGGGAGATGGCCATGTTGCTGCAGTCTGCAGTCTGAGCGCTAGATGTCGCTAAAAGTTACACACTGTAGCTTTAAAATAAAATAATATTGATAAATAATTTTGAAAGCACAGATACGTTTGAAAATTAATAATAGCAGAAATTTAATTTGTGTCTACATACCCTGAATCTTATTTTTATAGCTGTTTGCATAACGCCAATCTTTTTTCTTAAAGATCTTACACATGACAACATGGGCAACTAATGATAATCCAACTTGATGCAATTTCATATTTCTAAAGAAAGAAGGAAATGCTTCTGGGGGGCAAAGCGAATCAAGACTGAAATAAACCAGGGGAAGTTTGGGGAAAGGATTTGAATTAAAAAAAGGAAGTTCATCTAGAGATATAATCCATTTCAGCTTTTAATGAAAATCCCATTAATGTTTGTACTGACATCCGGGATGTTTTTATTTATTTATTTATGTATTTATTTTTATTTACCTTTAATCAAGAGGTTTTCCTTTTTTTTTCCCATACCATATTTTCATGCAAATCATTTATCTCCGTCTCATTCGTGTTGTTGAGTAGCAGAACACTGACAATTAAATTAAGTTAAGTTTGAGTTTAAATTAATGTAACTCATAAAAAACACAAATACCAAATATCCAATATTTTGCTCGGAAATCAGATGGTGTAAAGCAATTTTTCCCATCCCAGGAATACGCAAGTCCATTGCATGGGGTTCATGAAAATTTTTTATTCCTTAGGTAGTAACATAAAACAGCTGGCGATCTGTTTTGCTTTGTGAGAAGCTAATTGAAAAATAAACAGGCTTTTATCAACCAAAAAGTAAGTTTTTCTGATATCAGCTGTTTTTCACACTGAGCTATCAGAGCTCATCAAGGCAGCTCAGGTGTCTTGATGAAAACAGAGTAAAACAAATTAAGTCAGTCTGACTATAATAGTTGTTCTGTATTTTTTTCCCAATTAATTAGGTTTCAATATGATTATAAGAGAGCTTCTGTTTTTTAAATACAGGTTTATAATATGATTTTATTTTGTGTTTATGTAGATTCCTTACCAACTTTCAAGCAACATATTAATGTTGTTTTTTGTGATGGAAAACATAAAATTATACAAATGAAATGCTCAAATCAAAAGATTAAGTAAAATAGTCTTTATTTCAGTTATTGTATGTTCCATTTTTGGATGATCACCAATATTTTTGATTGAGTGGGGTATTGATGGTAAGCCAAAATACCCAAAGGGGAACAGAAGTCAAAAAAAGGTTGGGAAACACTGGTATAAAACATGATGGCTACCATAGCGGTTGTCCTTAGCAAAGTTAAAGCTCTTTGCTACTAAGCTGTTTGGATGGTGGCGTACTTATATGCAAGTGCTGCTAGTAAATCATTTAAGTCAAACACAGCTTGACATGGTCTAGATCAGGGGTGCCCAAGTCCAGTCCTCAAGAGCTACTATCCTGCAACTTTTTGATGCAGCCCATTTTTAACACACCTGAATCAAATGAGTGGCTCGTTACCATGTCTCTGCTGAGCTAAATGAGGGGATTGAGGTTGTCGATTCAGGTGTGTTAGAGAAGAGCTGCATCTAAAAGTTACAGGAAGGTAGCTCTTGAGGACTGGATTTGAGCACCCTTGGTCTAGATCCTCTCCATCTAGTGCAGCCATCCCTAAAGCCGGTCCTCGAGGGCCAATGTTCTGCATGTTTTAGAGGTTTCTCTGCTTTAGCACAGCTGATTCTGATGATTGTAGTTCAGCAAAAGCTTGTTAATCAACTATCAATGTAAATCAGCTGTGTTGGAGCAGGGAAACCTCTAAAACCTGCAGGACAGTGGCCCTCGAGGACCGACTTTGGGGGTGCCTGATCTAGTTTTTCTACCATAAAATGAATAAATCGTTTTAGGAGGAAACAGGTTTTGTTCACTGCAGTCTCTATTTAGATTTGGTCACAAACTGGTTAAAATGAGGATTGTTTGGATTACTTTAATATCATAATCCTTGGCAATGTTATGCATATTGAAAAATACATTTATTTACCATGTGACACAAAACTGGTTAGTGTGGGAGACATTGTGTTCTATTTTGCTATCCAAGTTCTTCTGTACTTACTGTAGCTTCATGTTTTATGTTTCAGAGTTGTCAGAGACCTTTTCATCAGTTGTAATGGCCTTAATCAGGTGACGGAGCTCGTCTACCTTGACCAGACTCGCTCTTTGGCTTTGAAAGTGTTTGAAACTCTGATAATAGGAACTGGACATCAGCAGGGTGATGGGCTTCTTCATGAACTAGAGAGTGCTGACGCCAAAGAAAGGGAGGCTATCCTAGGCCTGGCTGAGGAACTGGGGTCCCGGGGGGTCGGGGAAGGCCCACAGAGCCTCAGCAAGTTCTATGAAGGCCTAAAGGAGGCGTATCCACGTCAAAAAAGCCGTACTGGACAGAACCACGGAAGAAGTAGAACTGAGACCCACCTACACGTCATCAACCTTTTCCTTTGTGTGGCCTTCCTCTGTGTCAGCAAAGAGGCCGATTCTGATCGGGATTCTGCCAATGACTCCGAAGACACTTCAGGTTATGACAGTACAGCAAGTGAACCTCTTGGAGGACGCCTGCCTTATCTGTCTCCAGACAGTGTTGCTTTGCCCTCTAAAGAACAGCTGCGGCGTGCTGCAGACGTCTGGTCCGTGTGTCGCTTCATCTACATGGCCAGCCCTCTCTTCCAAAGGCAGTTCTTTAGACTTGGTGGATTGGACGTGTGCTTGCGCCTCATGGCAATGGTTATCCAAAAACTCTATTGTAAGACCAAAGATGGGAAAGCAAAGAAGAAGAGAGAGGGTAAAGGGAAAGGCAGCCCAGACTCTACAGCTCAGGTTGCTTCTCTAGGATCTGAAGATCCCTCCTGTGAGTCAGGAGATTTCCAGAGTGTGGCTCCGACTGAGGGGAAGACCAAAGATCCAGGGAAAAGGATGGATGACCAGTGGCAACTTCAAAGTATCCGTCTTCTTGAGGCCTTGCTGGCCATTTGTCTGCACAGCTCTAACTCGGCCATGCAGAGAATAGAACCGGAGCTTTCTTATCAGGTTTGTTTAATCAGTGTTATCTTCTCTGTAGATCAGTCACAAAAATAACACCATTCAATAATCTATTGCTCAATTTCCATAGCTTCAATCTGTTGAGGAGACCCTGTTCGAGGTGAGGGACCAGCTGTCACGTTCAGGAGTGGTGAACTCTGACCTCGCCGTGCCCCTGTTCGACTCTCTGCTGAGAGTTGCCTTGGCTCAGGTGTCTTCATGCACCGATACATCCGAGGAGAAACCAGAGAGGGTAGGTTCTGCTGTAGAAGATGCAAGCACTGAATATTTTACATCCTTGAAGAGATGGATTAGGCTTTTTTGTTTTGTTTAACTGACTTCTGTTAGCCTCTCAATAGTTATCCTCTATACTGTAGCTTTTATTTTATTCTTTTAAAGTGGCTTCTTTTCAAACCTGCTCTTATTTTGTTAAGTCTACCGATGCTGTTCTGCTTTGAAAAGTAAGTGCTAATGGCGAGGAAGGATCTGTGGCACAAGCCCTATGTTGGGTTAGGTTGAACAGTTCTGCCAAAAATCTATTTTCTTCAGGGATATTGTGATTTTTATTTAGGCTCTCATTTGCACTAACCACAATCATATAGAGGTTTCACTCTAGGGGTAGGAAAAAGCCAAAGCAGAGGCAGAAAGTTAAAATAAGCATCAGCAGCAAGGTTTAGCAAAAAGAAAGGGTACAATCTGTTATTTTATGTAGGAACACAAACCTTTATGATCGCATTTACCCTCCTTGTCTAAGAAAAATGTTGCATTTATTGTGAAATGTGAAAAGTACTCTTGTTGATAAAGAAGTTAAGAATAAATAAAAGGGAGAAAATCATCCCGCAAGGTGTTTAAGGCACTAAAGTAAAGCATTTACTCCATGTTGCTAAGCAGCCTTTATCTGGACAGTCGTGCAATAAGATGGCAAACGTAATTAAATTTCCCATGTATAGGAAGTCTACAGCCCTGAGCAAGCATGAAGAGGCAAACATTCTAACCATGTTCCTTCGTTTTAATTACTGCCACAAAAAAAATTCATTTTTATTCATAATGGATATCTGAAAATGTAAACTTTACCAGCACATATTTAATCATATTGAACTAGGATTAATTTCTTGGTCAACTCAAAGTCTTTGTAATACTTCATAGAATTCTCTGTCATGGTAATTGTGGCTCCATGTACTTTAAAGTATGTCTCTAAAAGATTGGCATTTTCTAAAGACTTTTTTTTTAAAGAAATAGTGTTCTGTACCACAGACCTAACGGTAAACATGATATATGTGGTCTGCAGGGATGATGATGCCCTTTTCCTGATCCCAAAAGCCTCTAAGTCCAGTTACTTTGGAGTATTGGACTTAAAGGACTACAAATGTACACATTTTTAACTTTATTTTCCTTGTAACAAAAGAAAAGAAATAGATTTATATTGTTAAACTTGTTGACAGATGTTCACCGTTTTTCTTTCTGTATGTTCTTTATACTTTTGTTCAGATTCATTGTTTTTTAAGAGCCTAGTTCTTTCTCTTTAGGCCCAGCAGAGTGTGATGTTCACTTACTCATTACCTAAGTTTGCTACAAAGCTTCAAGATTAGTCCTTCATAGCAAAAGCATCATATTTTTTTAGATGATATTTAGATGATATATTTTTTTGTAAAATGTATAGATTTTTACAAATTGCTGGTGTCAGAATAATTATTTTTTCTTGTTGTATTCTATTTTTTTTATTTTTTTGTGTGGTGAGTTTGCCTACGTGAGGATACTACGGCCAACTGTTCACGACAAGGAACTAGGCTGGGTAAATGCTGTGCAAGTCAGCTGATATTTGTCTTATGACTAAAACCTTGTATTTTTTCCCCTGCCTTCTTCCACTCCATGAGTGGAAAGGCCTTTACTTGTCATGCTGAAAATGCTTTTGGTCAGGGAGACTCTTTTTATTGATCAAAGGAATTTGGTGAGCTCTGTCTTATTATCTCACCACCATGTAAGGCGGGTGGGAGTGGGGGAGGCGGATCCTGGTTTAGTTTAATTTAACTTTTTTTTGTTTTTTCTTCCTCCAGAAGCTCCAGGTGTTTGCTGAGGGGGCGGCTCCAGCAGGAGATCTGTCCGAGGAGGTGGATGAGGTGCAGAGCTGCAGCGTCAGGCTCCCGGGGGAGGAGGAGGGCTACGACGCCGATAGCGAAAGCAACCCGGAGACCATGAAGCAGCAGGAAGAGGGTAGGTCCACACATAATTGCACACTAAACCGTACAGCTGCTCTTAGCTACTGCAAACGTGGACAGTTTGCTCCAGCTATAAAACTTTTTACTTCAGTTTCGCTTTTGTAATGGGGTTATTTTTGGAATGCTGATAATCCCTTTAACATCATCCGCTCTTTACGTGTTGTTTTTGTTGCTGATAAATGTCAGCAGACTTATCTAGCCTGGCTGAGAGGTCATAAGTTGGTCTCAACCTCTGACCCCAATGATAACAGGCCTTGGGAAACTTTATTTCTCACTCTGATCAACTCAAAGCTCAGAGTTTCTGTCCCATTTGCTTCTGACCCGTTGTTCTTAAAGTCAGAGATAAAGCGACATCCTCCTGCGGTGACTGTTGGAGGATATTTAAGAAGAAGAAGTTGATATTTTTGTTGCGCATGGATGACAAAGCAAAAAGCAGCCCTGAGCTCATTGCATTAGTGCTCTTCTCTGCACTCCACTCCTGCAGGTTAACGACTTGGCCTGATTACACTGTTTTTGCTTTAATCCCCTCAGAATGGACCCATTGTGTTACGTTTTACAACTGGCTGGCAGCTAGAGTCTTCGGCCTCATAAGCTGCATCTTGTGATTTGAAGTTCCAATAAGATGGAGGGTCGAGCTTCACGGAAATCGATTGCATCACCTTAAATAGTTTTTTTTTGTAATTTGTGGTATCCTAAACAGAGGCCCAACAGTTCAGACTAATTAATCATTGGATTTAAAATTATTATCAATCTAAATCTCTTTTTAGTTTTAAAACAGTTTTCCTGTGATTCAGTCAGACTAATTGAAGCATCATTTTCAAACTTTTGCACTTCTTCATACAAAATATTTCTTGTAAAAGTTGTCTTTGTAGCTTTAATATGACCCTGAGCTTAAACAGATCTCTCCTTTCTGTTGCATTCATTATAATTTGATTATTTAATAGTTTAGAAGAACTGTTTTATTATACTTTTAAAGGAAGGAATCTTTGAGGTTGCTCGCTTTAATGAACCCACAGACCAAACATAATCAGCAGCACAACTTGGTCTGTTCTGTGTTTGGGCTCCAACTGTAGACTTTGAACTCTTAAATAATTTTCACACATTTGAGGCTTGCTCTCTAGTAAAACCATAACTAAACTCTGAGATTTTTCAGTTTAAAATCCGCTACTTAAACCTTAATGAGAAGCCTCCATTTCCTAACGCAATATTCCAAACTTATTAAAGCGTTTTTAACTTTACGTGCCGAGTAAAGTATTCTCACCCAGCCGGTGGTATCTGTTGCTGCACCCAACTTCCTCTTCGATTTATCTCTCATCAACTGTAACTGAAAACTGCTCAACTTTTTTCTGGTCGTTTGGTTGTTTTCCTTTCAGGCAGAGATTCTCCTCAGGATTTCGTTTTTTTTTTTTTTTATTTCGATTTTTATCTTCCACAATTCCGTAGTTTCCAGAGTTTCGTAGTCCCTCTGGTTAGACCTGCTATCAGTATTCAAAATCTAGATAAGTCATTTTTTTTCTTAAAATAAGTGCCTTTTTTTCTTGAATTGAGGAGGTAACTGAGACACTTTGCGATTGGAACAAGCCAATTTACATTTAAAATGAGGAAAAAGCAATTTTATTGTTATTTCAAGTGTATATATTATCTAATCAGCTTATTTTAAGAACAAAAATCCTCTTTCCTTTGGCAAATTATCATATTTATCTACTCAAATTAAGGGTAAATACATTTAATTGAAGACATTTTGGCTTATACCTAGATCGTTTTTGCAGTGAACAACCACAGTTTACACCTAATTCACCCTGAGTGATGTGATCAGAGTTAATTTGAATGCAGGCATCCGACTTTTACAGGTTTAGCTGTTTAATTATGTAGATTTGCATTGAACAGCCATTGTTTTTTTGTTTTGAATGATCTTAATCTTTCGAGACTTGTCTAAATCTAGGCTGAAGTATCTTATTCTTCTTTCTAAAGGCCTCATCCAGCTGCTTAAACTCCTAAACATGTTCCCTCTGGATTTTAACACCCTGATGCGTTGAGGATTAAACATTTGAGGTTCAAACAGTCCTAACCTTCAAGATGCTGAGTAAAAATGTTCTAATAGTGTTTACATTTTTTTTTTAGGTTTTACAGAACACTTTAAAAGGTTTATTCTTCTCTGTTGTAAAGTTAGATTAAATCATCATGATGAGATATATTAGAAAGGCAGAGAGTCTTCCTACCAGATGACTTTGATAGTTATTTAATTGCTTCAGATTAGTCAGCCACAGTGTTCATTTTGTTTAGTGGTGGACGAAGAACTCAACATTAGTACTGAAAGTATTAAGTAGTAGTGAAAGTTTTGATACTCAATCAAAACTTACTCCACCACAAGTAAAAGTTACTTGGTCAAACATCTAATCAAGTTAAAGTACTGAAGTACCTACTTTTTAAAATACTTAAGTATTCAAAAATGTAAATTAAATGTTCTTATATCAGTACATTTCTGTATAATTTCAGAGTAATTTTAAAGAACCTTTTAACTTTCAGAGATCACCTGATTGACGTATTGATACGTAGAACCACCTCCTACAGATTCTACACCATCTGTAAAGAACATAAGCATAAAGCATAAAAATGTCACAAAAAGAAGGAAATCTATTTTGATTGTTATTTCTTATTAAAAATCAAACCAAAAAGAAAACAGGAAAGTCTTGATTCTCCTCACACTTTTATTATGGAATAGAGGTTTAAAGTTGAATCTGTATTACCTCAATGAAATTACGAATCTGATTTGAGACTCAGCCTACTTAACAACTTGGCCATATGGCAACAAATAATGCCCTAATGAAATTTATAAACTACAAATGATATCTACCCTGAGTTTCTCATTCATTGTCATTATTTTGTGGCATTTTATGCAAATTTCTAAAACCCTGGCGTCCATATTTAGTCCTAAGGGCTGTGTTTCAAGAAAGAAAATAAACTACAATAGCAGATTTAAAAAGCTAAGCCAAGCCAAAAGGAGTAACTAACAACAATATTTGACTGAAATGTAGTGGAGTGAAAGTTATAAGTACTCCCCCGCCCCCCAAAATGACTCAAGTAAAGTAATGATAATCAAAAGCAGTACTTAAGTACAGTAATAAAGTAAATGTACTTGTTACTTTTCACCACTGATTTTGTCAACTTTTTTTGTCTGGAAGTTTGTTTTTAACCATGACGCTTCCCTATAACAACACAAAGGTGGCCCCTCTTTGTAGCTAGGTGGTCCTGCACTGCACCCCTGAATAGATGAAATAGGCAGCAGAACAACACAGGAACAAGTTTCAGAGCCAATTTTGAAGCTGGTCTGGTAGAAAAAAATCATAACATCAAGTACTATATGTCTGGAGTGTGTTCACATCTGTATTTAAGACTGTCTGCACACTGCTGAATCAGTCAGAACTTTTATTTAAGTTCCTGGTGTGAACAAAGTGATGGTTTAGTCTTCAGTGTGTGATGATAATAAGGCAGAGACTTCTGTGGAATATCCTGAGAGGGTATATCCAGTATTTAAGCATCGAAACAAATGCTACTGTCTAGGGGTGGTACGGTTCAC